TGTATGAAAATTTGTCTTGGTGGCCTTGGTTGGTGTAGTCGCACAGTTTATAAATGTAACCGTATATTTTCGATTTTGTATTTTTTTCTCTTATACGTATTAAATGTGTTAACACGTAATTGACTTTTATGTAATAATGTGTGATTAAAACAAGACGCCATATGGGTTCACTGGGTTGCCTGTATCATGTACAAATGGCTAGTACTGCAAGGGCGGATCCAGCCAAAATTTTAGGGGGGTGGGAATATGATATAGAGATCCAAGTGGAGTAAATGTTCTTGTCAGCAAACTTTGCCATTAAAAATAGGAAAGCATCGCTCTACGTTTCGCGGATCGACTGCTTATATGACTGATAACGCCGTCTGATCGTCGAGGCTTTCAAGCTTTCAAGGCAATCTTTTTCACTAAAAAGATTGCCTTATCGTTGAAGATTTAAATTTTTATAAAAGTTGATAAAAAAGAAAAAAAAATTTGCTTTGGGTTTACACTTTGATTCCACTTTCATTGGTCATCTCCACTTCCAAACAAGTTAATTAAACTTTCTGAATAACAAGATTTTAGCCTTTTACAACAGCCTTAATCTTCAAGAAAGTAGTTTTTGGCGCTCACTGCTTGAAAACGAAAAGAATTCTCTCTTAAACTAGTCTATTCGGTGCGTTGTTTTCACGGACATTGTTATGCTGATTCACATGGAACCGTGGTCCAGTGGCAAAACTTGGGCTTCCAAGATACCGAGTCAAGCTCATCTGAGGAGGGTTAGCACTCGTATGGGTGACCTAAACATTATACCTACTCAAGCTTTTTTTGTTTTATTTTTATTTTTGATGCACAGATGATGTTGATGATGATGATGATAATGGTGATGTTGATGCACAGGTGATGTTGATGATGATGGTGATGTTGATGTACAGATGATGTTGATGATGATGATGATAATGGTGATGTTGATGCACGAGTAATGTTGATGATGATGATGATGTTAATCAGGTCATACTGATGAAAAAGATGGCCGTATATCCTCTCTAAGCCTCACAGGCTTTTTAGGAATGTCAATACTCGCA